ATACCTAATATATTGTTACGATACCCATGTGTGTAATGCAACCTCTTTTCTAGAGATATCAATTATAAAGTAAAATAGATTTAAGAGAATTTAGGAAATTGCTAAAGTCATTCCGAACTGGCTCACGGCAGAGCCGAACAACAAGTCGATCTGGATGGACTATTTGGAAATCATCGCTTGTGATGAAATTATGCTTAAAAATATCATTACATGTGATGAGTCGTTGTAGGTGATAGTTAAAGGTGAGTAGTTAAAATTTTTAAAAAATTTAAATTAATTAAAAATTTAAAAATTAAAAAAAGAATTTTTTAAAATTTTTTTTAAAATTTTTTAAACATTTTAAAGTGTTTGTTCGTCTTTGTGTATTGTATTGTTATGTCCAAATTTACATGTATGACATTCTGCTCATGTCGGATAGGCCACAACTGACGAAATGCCCCTGAGGATGATCTATTGATCGAAAGTACTTGGGCAAGATTTAATTAATTACTGTGTTCGATATTTGCCTTGTATACCATCAAAGTTCAATTATTCGAACATTCAACCTTATATTGAATAATTTTTTTGTTTATGAACATTTTTTAATTTAGATAATCTAATTTTAAAGAGCAAGTATTTTTAAGAAAGTCGTCTGTTGAATGTTTTCATGTACAATACGGAGTTTTTTTACAATATTGAAATTAATGAATGAAATTAATGAATGCTTTTTCGGCTTTCTTCGCTAGGCTAGTAATGCTTCAGCACATTTATCGTTCCTTGTATAACAGGTTTCCACTATGGCTATTTAAAAAACTTAATTTCAGAACTGCTTTCGATAATGAAAGCACTGAGAACATCGTCTTTTCAAGTTCAAATAGGATTTCTTCGAAGGATGCCATAAGCTGGGTTGAGATGCCCATAATAAATCATTGCAAAGGTATAAAGAAGGTCTGATAGTTTTTGAACAGACCCCGCTTGGTTCGAAAGATATTTGTGGATTTTTAAATAGTTTTATAATATTTTTTCGAATCTAATTTAAAATCGTAACAATATTATTAGTATGTTGTACTTCTACGGTTTATAAACAAACTTAGGAGTTTTATAAAATTGCAATTGCAATTTCCAATGAAAATTGTTTTTATATAATCTCAAATCAGTACTTTAGAAGATTGTAACTTCAATGTGATCACCACACTCCAAAAAGCTTGGATGTTCTCGAAAAGAATATTAGTTAACCAACTACATTCTGAACACTTTTACTAAGTGTGCAATTGACTAATTGTTTTACTACATATTGCTACGTTCGCGACCGATTTTACGGGTTGTGTGAAGAGGACTAGTGAAAACACCGTCTTAAAACGCATAAATGCAGTTCATTTTTAGTCGTAAAATGACGATACATATCTACAAGGGAATAAAATAAGTATAAGCTCATGAATTTAAGCTGAAAAGGTAAAAGACACCCAAATATATACATTTTTTTAGCCGTGTCGAGTGCTAAAAGCTCTAAAACATACTTCTCAAAACATAATTCTCGAGCTCACAATACAATTTTAGCAAATACAATTTTTCAAATACATCCGACGGGAAGTTAAGTTAGGAATCGTCGAATTTCCGAGAAAACGATAATAACTGGCACAGGATCAGTTTGACCCCTTTAGATTTCTATGGTAGATTTGCTAGAAAAACCATTTAAAAAACAAATTAAAAATAACATATAATTAGTAAACAATATTTTTTTGTGTTAAATAAGGCTTTGTATCAAAATATTAATATTATTGCCCCAAATAAAAAAAAACAACAAAAACAACAGAGGCCAAATTGACCCCTTCGACTTTCTAGTGTTAAAGTTAATGACACGTCATTCAATACTGACGTTAAAATTTTCGCGCATGTGGCGAGACAGTGCGGTATTACGATAAGCTCGTTTGATAGAGCTTTTTATTGTGTATTATATATTTTTTATTATATAAAATATATTGTTAATATAATCAAAATATAATAATAAATTATAAGATAAAAATAAATTTTTAAGAATTTAAGAATTTTTTAAATTTTTGCGTAGGCGCAAAATTTCCGGCCAATGCTTTTTAAATGCATTCATTTTTTTCGAATCCTGAGAAAACTAATAAGTATTTTTTAAAAATTTAAGCGCAGAATAAAATATTACATTATTACTGAGGGCCGAAAGTCCCTAAAAACATCTATAATGTTTATTTTAATAAGTTACAGAAGTGAAAAAGAAGAGAAAATTTGGTGTGATTTTTAATTTCAAATATCTCATTCAAAAAAAACTTTTTGTTTATTCTAAGGGACTTTCGGCACTCGGTAATAATGTAATCTTTCATTCTGCGTTTAAATTTTTTAAAAATATTTATTAGTTTTCTCAGGATTCGAAAAAAAAATGTTTGCATTTAAAAATCATTGGGCCCGAAATTTTGCGCTTACGCTCTTAATATAACAAAACAAATTGCACTGTAGTAAGTTTGGTTACCTACAATGAGGTTTCTCCATGACTATTTGTTTTTTGGCTTTTGAGATTGGCATGAAGGCCACTAAGTACGATGTTAACGGATTTATGTTTAACATGTTGGTAATGATAAAAAGTTTTTAGGCACTTATCAAAGCAGATAAGTGCCTAAAAACTTGATGGTGAAAACATACATACCGTAGCAGTATTGCTAACAAAAGAAGAGTCCCCTAAGTATCATTTACATTCCACAAATTAAATAAGAAATTGGCATAGGGGAAGTGGTACACAGTGAGACGCGGTACACAGTAAGACAACCAATTTAAGTTCAAAATTTTTCTTCGATTTGCTTCACTAATCTACTTCTACTGTGTAACTACATTAAAACTTGCAGTAATATGGCGTACGGCCTAACCACCGTACCTGTAAGACGCATTGTATTTGATGTAGCTAAACTAAACAAATTGAAGGTAGCAAAATCTTTGACAGAACGTAGAACAGGCGGTATCGACTGGCTTCGTGTATTTATGAAAAGAAAAAAGTTGAGCATACGACAACCTGAGGCATATAGCTTGGCACGCTTAACTTCTTTCAACCGACAGCTCATCGTGGTACCTTGGGACTAGCTAACCCTACAGGCTAGATGACAGCAGAACTTTTTTTACAGGTATTAGAAAATTTTATCAAATACCGCAGCAGTTCCAAAGAAAATCCGTCGCTGCTAATATTTGATAACCACGAGAGCCACGCCACAGTGGAAGTAATCATGAAGGCACGAGAAGCAGGTGTCCATGTTTGGACATTGCCCCCACATTGTAGCAACAAACTCCAGCCCTTAGATGTGACTGTCTTTGGGCCTTTCAAGGCATATTATAATGCTGCATATGAGGCTTGGCTACTGAATCATCGAGGAGCGCCCATCACAATATACAATATCGCTTAGTTGGTTGGTACAGCACACAATAAAGCTCCCGTACCTCAAATATTTTGCCTGAGGCTTCAATTCGGTCAGGTCCCTTCAATCCAAATTATTTCAGAGAGAGCGACTTTCTTGGATCGGCAGTGACAGATCGTCCTATGGAAAATGTTAAAAAAGGAGTCCTTCAATAACGTTCTTCCAGGACCATCGGTTGTAAACTCTATTCCTCTAGACCCAAGTGCTGAAACACCCTCTAGAACTACCAAAGAAAATAAAAATTTCATTTCACCAGAGATGTTGCAAGGATATCCTTAGGCTAAGACAAGAAAAGTTAATAGGAAGCCAAGAGAGAAGAAGAAAAGTAGGATCTTCACAAGCACGCCTGAGAAAGATGCGCTCGAAGCAAAACGAAACCAGTTGGTTTCTTCGACAATGAAACAGACAATTATACGTGTTGTGGATATTGAGAGTTGTTCGGATGAAAGTGAACCAGTTTTTAATTTTGGAGATAGTGATGATAACGATGATTCTTGGATAGGACCAGTAGATGATGAAGCATTTGACTGCAATCGTTACCCTGTAGAGGGTGACTATATTTTAGTGAGATTCAAAGAAAAGTTTAAAAATATATTTTACGTGGGACTTGTTGTATCGTGCCACAATTCAGAAGTAGAAGTCAATTTTATGGGCAAAATCAACAAAATAGGTGTCTCGTGTTTCGTATTTCTTACTGTTCCTGATATTGCTTTCGTGGAGAAAGAAGACATCAGATTTGTTCTTCCAAATCCAACGCCATTTCGCAATCTTACAATAAATTTGAAATAAATTTTGGTTATCTAGACGTTCTTTAATTAGCCTTCATTTCAGATATCAGCTCTTATATTTTCTTGGGAAATATATAAGTATTTTACGAAGTTATATTGACTATTTTTAAATGTTTATTATCGATTTGTGGAATATATCATGTGGCTCACTGTGTACTAGTAACATATGTCAATGTGTACCAGGGGTGGTACATATTGAGACATAAGCAAGGTTGTTTTTTTAAAGTTACATATCATTTTTGAATTAAAACTACATGCCTTTATATTTGTGGAAGTGATACTTATTTTTCAATGATAATTTAATATTAATTATTGTTTTTTGAGTACCAAATGATTTTTATAAATTTTATTTCATTGATAATAGACCGTATGTATGTCGAAATAATTAAAATAATTTTAAAACGACGTAGAAATGGCATTAAGACGTACATTGAACTTTAAAAATAAATAATGTATAAGAGAGAAATTTAATTTTCACCAATTTTATAGTTGAAATTGTAACTTGGTATTTTGGAGATGCGAAGAAGAGAAATACAGTGCTTATACAGGAAGAAATAACTACATTTCAACGATATGTATCGTTACAACATCAACATTTAAAGAAATAATTTCGAATGGTCTCTGCTAAATCTCGATTCTCGATACCAAAATTTGCCTTTGGGTATCGCTGGTAAATAATGTAAGCGTCATATTTATGGACTAAAAACGATCTCATTTAACCGTTTCGTATTTAAAAATAATCAAAATTTGGACTCTACTGTCGAAGTTTCGAGCAACTTAAATTAATAGTAGAAGATACAAATAATACCTTCATTTGGAAATTGTTAAAATTAGCTATCACGTCATTGTTTATTCTTGGAATGTTTCTAACAAGTTATCCTAGGCCATTCCAGGGTCTTCTAAGGCGCCATCTTCTTCCAGCTTCGATATGAATTTGATAACACGGATTCTTTCGTCCGTCTGTCTAGCCATGTCAATCAATGCTAGTAGTTTCTTGACACCGATGAATATCCTAAATAAGTTCAAAATAAAGAAAATTAATATAATACTAAATAATATCAGCTCTACTTTTCAAGCCGTGCTGTTGTACATTTGAATTGAAAACAGCTTATTTATATTATGTATGTTGTTGATATAACACTATGTTTATTTCCTTCACAAATTAAAACCATTTTTAGTGATTGAATTACTAAGGACAAGGAGGTTATGTTTTTGTTATCTATACTATAAATCCTCAATTTAGAAGAGTGATTTAATCGTTTAAACACCGAATATCCTCAAATTTAAATGTACACAGCGGCCTTCGAAAACTACCCGTTTTCTCAATTGCAATTTGCGTTTTCTTATAAGAAATTACAGAATATAGTATATTTATTAGATTATTATATATTAGAAGTAGAATATTTATTTGTGCTTCTTCTTGTTCACAAGTACGGTCATATTCGGTATTTTTGTTCATGAGTTATATATATATATATATATATATATATATATATATATATATATATATAATTCTTTGGTAGGTAACTTTCGGGAAAGCATCAAATCAAGGATCGGCTAGAGATGGTATAAGCCAGTTTGGTGTAGAACTTTATTCTAAATGTGAAATTTTCACATGTGAAAATTTCAATTATTTGAAATAATGTGTCTATATATATATATATATATATATATATATATATATATATATATGTCTAAAACTATAACAGGTGATGAAAGAAGGATATATGCGTATGCGCTTGAATGTATACAACAGTAAACTGAACCTAACCATATATTCTTAATAGTATTCCACCATTTATTCGCCCAAACTGTTAACGAGTATTAAGCAAAATAAAAAAATAAACAGCTGATTACTGATGGAATTGAACATGGAATTGAAAGGTCATTATTTAACAGGTGGAGGATTCAACATGTTCCATAATACATATTTTTTGTTTTTGACAAATCTTCTCTAGCAAATTCTAATTTGCTACTATTAATTTCATGAAAATAAAATGTTGTATTTTTGGTCATAAATAGACTATGTTACATATTATACTCTGCTTGTCACTCAGTCACCACAATTTGAATGAATCAAGTTTAAATAGATACGTAACTAATACAGTGATAGAGGTACAGGGATATTTTTACATACCGTTTTCCATGAACTTGATGAGTTATCTGCTTTAGTTCTTGATTTGAGAAAACATCGGAAGCTTCTAATACATTTAATAAATGCTCCGCTTTTGATAAGTTTGGTACATGCAATACTGCGGTAAAAGCTGACAGCATCTCCATTTCTTCCAATACTTGTCTAAAAATGTACAATGACTTTTATCTAAATTATCTAAAACATATTAGCTGTATCAACACTGTAAAAAACATAATACGAAAGCGTACAATATTCCGACCCTGAGAACTGTACCATTAGTTGTTTTATGAACTACAACTATTGTTGTAGTTCACAGAGCCCCGAAATTTATCAATGAAAAACTGTTTAAATGCTCCTATACGTAGATATGTAAATACGTGGGAGTCTTATCTTTTATCTTCGAATAAAGATTATTAATTGTTAGGGCTGATCTACAAGCCACATTAAGTTTAATGTTAATGTCGAATAATAATAATAACATCAAACTTAATGTGGCTTGTAGATCAGCCCTAACAATTAATAATCTTTATTCGAAGATAAAAGATAAGACTCCCATAGATAGGCTTAGTAATATTGTCTACAACATTCCATGCCTCTCTTGTAACAATTTCTACATCGGCCAAACATCTCAATTATTGAAATCACGTATTACACTACACAAAAGTGATTCTCGACTTCACCCTGACCGCTGTGCATTAGCCAAACATGTCCATTCCACTGGTCATCACATGGACTATACGAACACTACAATTCTCCACCGTGAGAACAATAAATCTAAAAGAGAGTTCATTGAAATGTCTTATATTTTCCTTAACGATTTTTCCATCAATGTTAAGAGTGACATTAAGAATTTAAGCGATATATACCACTTCTTACTTAAATGGGATACCAAGAACAATACAACATCACAGATAACTAACTTGAATGATATATCCATTAACAACTAACCTACTTTAATAATAATTTTCATTAACTAAAAAAGGTAACATTCCCTTGCTTTTCTTAGATACATCTCAATAAGATATTATTATAATAATACATGAACAATATACTAATTAAAAAAAGAATTTCAATTAAGAAAATTCTAAACTAATATCTCCCCAGACTGGGATCTAACTTCATCGGTTTTACCAATGAACCTTAACGACATAGATATCAAAAGGCCTACTTGTAATTGTTCGGCGCTTGCGTTCTATGAAAACAGAAGCTCACATTCAAACTTTACAACAATTAAAAATTTAGTTATTGCCGACAATTCAAAGAATTACTTCCTTTAAATGTAGTTACATTGGGTTTTTCGATTGTCCTTGGGTAAACCTTTGCGTTTTAAGTTCAAAGCTACCATACATTTCCAATGTTAACAAATAACCTTTTTTGCACATAGTAACAAAAAAACACCACTATGTTGTTACTAGCTAAAGTTTTTTAACATCATAACTCGACATTTCTAAAATTTTACGGTAAGGTAAATGTTTTTTATTAGATAATATATGGTAGCTAATTATAATTTATTCTCTTTCAGCCCTGAAGAAGCCAAATTAATTCTCTTTGGCGAAAACGTTAGGTGAAATAATTGATACACATTAGAGTTTTTTTGCAGATTTCCCCAATCTTTAAGAGTTTACTATTTAACTTATCTGCAAAGATTAAATTTCTTTTCTTTTCTATATATATATATATATATATATATATATATATATATATATATATATATATATATATATATATACAGTGTAGGAAAAAGTTTATGGTCGGTATGGACCTTACGTGAGATGGAGTGAGAAACAGCTGTTTCGAAAGAGAGAGGTATATTAGGTCCTCCCTTTATATCGCCAAACATGCATGCGTGGAAATATAAAAAAGGGGAAGTTCAGCGTTGCCAAACTTATTGGTTTTATTTGACCTGCTGTCTTTTTTGCATTTGAACAATGTTCTTAGATAATCACATTTGGGCGAAATTGATTTAAATGGCAGCTTACTGTTTTTTTATTGGGAATATGCCACAAGTTTACTTTACAATAAGTGTAATATAACATTTTGATTTCCACTTCGGAAATCGTTTTATATAAATAAAATTTATTAGTGCTTCATATTTTAAGTACGGTTTCCGAATTAAAAATCTAAACATCAAAATAAGCTTATTTTAAAGTCACAGTGTGTCTTATTCCCAATATGAAATCATAAACTGCATACAATAACGCCACATTAAAAAATATTCATGCACAATAATTATTTTACAACGTCCGTGTCCGTCCGTCTGGTGAAAAACACCGAGTAACGAGTAGTAGAGGTGGGTCGTGGTAGTTTTATCGTTAACAGCGTAGACACAAAATTTCGGGCCAATATTTTTTAATTGCATTCATTTTTTTCGAATCCTGAGAAAAGTAATAAATATTTTTGAAAAATTTAAACGCAGAATAAAACAATACATTATTACCGAGGGCCGAAAGTCCCTGAAAACTTCTATAATGTTTATTTTAATAAGTTAAGGTGAAAAAAAATTAGTGTGATTTTTAATTTCAAATATCTCATTCAAAAAACTTTTTGTTTATTCTAAGGGACTTTCGGCCCTCGGCAATACTGTAATCTTTTATTCTGCATTTAAATTTTTCAAAAATATTTGTTAGTTTTCTAAGGATTCCAAAAAAAAAGTGAATGAATTTAAAAATTTAAATTTTTGTAAACAAGTAAATATGATTGTTTAAAAGTAGTTTCAAGTAAGAGAGTACCTACATAAACAAACATAATGGCTATTATCGTTTATGTGTATATTTATTGAAGTGAAAGAAACTAATGATATATTTATTATAACTTGAAAAATAAACTAAACAATACAAATAGTAAATCGTACTTACATTTACATTACACGTTATTATTAAATCGCGAATAGTCTAAATTGACATTAAAAAACATAAGTTTTTCTACTTTACTTCTTATTAACCGTCTTCTTTTTTTATTTCAAATTAAACCAGATTTTTGAACATGTGTTCACATTTACAATACTTTATGAATATAGTGGTTAAGTTAGGATATACATGGCGATGGTTTTTCCACCGTTGTAATGGACTCTCGATACAGGTGTACGTGTAAATGAGCCATCTCCAATTAATTGATCAAAAATACACCATGGATTGAAGTCATCTTTATTGGTTTCTTTTTCTTGTACTGGTTGATTTTCAATAGTACAATCTTCTTGTTAGTTAATTATAGAAGTAACCAGCTTCTTAACTTTTTCTTTTATTTTTTTATCTTTATTTTTATCAGAAAAACCCTGAACTTTAAATGATGAATCCATAAATGTACATAATGACAATGTGCCAGTCTGTTCTATTTCTTTAAATCTTTTTTGCTAAACCCGATATTAGTAATTTAAATATAATAATAAAATTTTATTGCAAGATTTTTGCAGGCAGCGTACCATAACAATCACTGAACTACCCTTCAAGTATTTTTGGTCACTCATTGTACTTGTTGTTTCTTGGCGTAAAATTTGGGAAAGCTGAGAACAAATAATCCAGTGTTCTTTATTTAGATTTGGTCTAAGTCTGTATTATTTAATACCGATATGGAACGGATTGCCTCTTCTAACTCGGTCATTCTTTTTAACATGTAATAGGTGAAATTCTACCTAGTTTCCACGTCTTGGATTGGCCGTTTGGGAACTTTGTTATGTTGTAATTAATACTTTAAAAGCCTTTCTGTAGATACGGTACTTTTTTTAAATGTGTTTTTTGCAGAATGGTCGAAAAAAGGACTTTTTATTTTATCTATTATTAAATCAGTTTTGACATAACATTCCTGAAGTAATGACCCTGACAGTTTTTCTTGTAGGCGGTTTATATCCAGGAATCCACCCTGCAAACTTTTTAAAAGCTTGTTCTTCACCTATGGAAAACGGATGAAACGAGTCTTTGCATAAGTTTAGTAAATCTTGAAAATCAACCAGTACAAGAAAAAGAAACTGATAAAGATGACTTAAGCCATGGTGTATGTTTGATGAATTAATTGGACATGACTCATCTAAGCATACACCTATATCGAGAGATATAAAAGAAGTCGACATGTATTTGTCTGATGATATATTACCCACAAAAAATTTCGAACGGAGATCAGAACTGTCCATTACCGTGGTGGAAAAACCATCGCCATGTATATACTAACTTAACCACTATATTCATAAAATATTGTAGTATTGTAACAAAATCTTTTCCTTGTGAACACATGTTTAAAATCTGGTTTAATTTTAAATAAAAGAAGAACACGGTTAACAAGGAAAGTGGAAAAACTTGTTTTTAAATGTCAATTTAGACGATTCACGATTTAATAATGTGTAATATAAATGTAAGTACTATTTGTATTGTTTAATTTATTTTTCAAGTTATAATAAATACATCCTTCGTTAGGTTCTTTCACTTCAATACTTATACACATAAACGATAGTAGCCAATATGTTTGTGTACTCGCTAATTTGAATACTGGTAAACAATCAACTAGTTACAGTTTACGAAAAACGGTTCCGATAAAAATTTAAAAAACGAGAGGACCCACCTCTAGTTTTTTAGGTATATTAGGATCGGAACCAGAGAATATGTAAAATATCTCTGATCGGAACTATTGGTCTCACTAATGGGCAATGAGTGTTAAAAATATTTATGGAAGGGAGACCAAGGGGAAATATGATTGTTATCTTTGTCTAGTCGCTGAAAATATGATTTTATATCTGCGTTAGATATCCTGTTAAATTTTACCATACCGACCATAAACTTTTACCTACACTGTATATATATATATATATATATATATATATATATATCCTTTTCTCCCTTATCTCTTGCCGTAATGCTCCACCATAGGCCGATCAGATACCAGCATATTCTAGACTAAGCCGCAGATTCATTTAGAATTTTAAACTGCTGCGTTAGCCTTTTGTTTTCTGTACACCGAGCTGGGGATTGCACTGACATCTATCGCATTGAAGCGAATGAGAAGCCAGCCGCCCAGCCCGCTTGGCTATCCGATTTAATATTACTTGTAGTCTTCCTCCCAAAGCCCCAATACTGTCCAGATTAACATCAACTGACTCACCACAATTTACTTTAAATCATTATTTTTCTGACTTTGACAAAATTGTTCAACGACAGGTTTGAAGCTTTAAAGGAATTATTTTTAAATTTCCGGCTAGTTTTTTGAAGTGAAACGTTCTTTAGCGACGTTATACACTTTTTGGATGGGGAAAAAGCATTGAATACGTGACAGATTTTTGCGACCGTCGCCGCTACGCAAATTGGTCTCACAGTAGCACAGCTCCAGGATGGTTCGACGGTTCGTGATGTATAAGGTCTCGTTGAAAAGGGTAGCGGGTAACTAGTATAATGACGGAAAAACAAACATGCTGGTATTACCAAAAGGGTATTACATCATATCTCCGTTGTTATTGGTCCGATTGGAGCGTGTGATGCGTTAAATGAAACGGGAGGGGATAACAATTCTATTAAGATAGAAAAACAAACAAATACTATAGTATGACTATAGTTAATACGAGAACTGTAGTAATGAACGTATAGTTACATACGAGATATCCGATGTCACTTTTTGCATTCACAAAAATTTTATTATTTTTTTTTTGTCAAATTCTGGCAAACTGTAATAAAAAAAACAAACAAAATGCATTTTATTAAAAGCTGCGACTAACAGCTGCGTAAACATGCGCCGAGCCGAGGGCGCGCTAAAAAATTCTGCCTTCAGTTACTTACCAGTTCTGGTCGAATGGAAGAAGGAACTCGAAAAAAAAAGTAACTAGTCTAGAGTTTGTTGGTACTTGCGATGGTGTAGAAATAACTAGCTTAGTATGGTAAGATAACAAATTAGTCACGTTTCTATCGATTTTCGCTGGCTAAGTTCCTAAAACTACTGCCAAGAGATACGACAAGAAAGAAAAGAGAACAAAAGAAGTAAGTTGTCCATATCTTGTATAGAAAAAACTGAACAAAGCAACAAAGGAATTAAAGGAATTAATCCATGAAGAACAAAACCATGGAATTCAAAAATATTTAAAAAATTACCGACTGAAGCGACAGATTACTCAATCTTGAAAGCCACGAAAAAACTCAAACGGCCACAACAGTATAACCCACCAATCAAAGATGAGGCAAACACTTGGGTAGAAACGACAACGAAAAAGCTGATCTTTTTGGCAAGCACCTTCAAAAAGTATTCACGCCATACCCTTCTACAGTATCTACAGATGAAGAAACAGAACTAACCAGATTCATAACAGCACCGTTTCAAATGGATCTGCCCCACACGAAATTTACAGTCAACCAAGTAAAACAAACAATAAATGAAGTCAACATCAAAAAAAGCCCCTGGATTTGACCTAATCTCTGGCAAGATTCTAAAAGAAGTCTCGGATAAGTCTATAAAACTAATAATCTTTATATTTAATGTAATTCTGCACCTAAACTACTTCCCCAGTTCATGGAAAGTGGCACGAATCAGAATAATCCTTAAACACGGAAAATGCATCTTCATACCGGCCTATAAGCCTTTTGCCTATGATTAGTAACGTCTTTGAAAAAATGAACGTAAAAAGGTTAAAAACGATAATAGACGAACATAAAATAATTCCAGAACATCAATTCGGTTTCCGAAACAAACACGGAACCATAGAACAAGTGCATAGGCTAGTCAACCAAATAAACAAGGATTTTAATGCCAAGAGATACTGTTCTGCTACTTTCCTTGACATATCTCAGGCTTTTGACAAGGTATGGCACATATGACTACAAATAAAATTAAAGAAGCTCCTACCCTATCCTAACTTCCAGCTCTTAAAATCCTACATAGAAAATTTTCTGGTGACACTTTCTGGTGAAGCACGGTACTGAGCACATAAGACATATGCTATTCACTCAGGCATCCCACAAGGCAGCGTTCTCGGTCCAATTCTATATCCTTTATACACAGCGGACATTAAAACATCTAGTACAACTACTGTTGCAACGTATGCAGATGACACTGCTATTGCAGTGGGTCATTGGACGCAATGACTTTGGATAACAAAATATTACTCTACAAGTCCATCCTCAAGCCCATATGGACTTTGGGATTCAGTTATGGGGCACTACTAGCGTCTTCAATACAAACATCTTACAGAGATTCCAAAACAAGGTGCTGCGTGCCATAGTCAATGCGCCATACTATGTATCCAACGAGGTGATTCAACACGACATCCCCCTAGAATCCGTGAAAGAAGCCATACAACGTTTTAGTGCTAAATACTGTGAACGAGTGCTAGTGCATCCTAATGCGTTTGTTCGACAACTAAATGTGCGGAACGTCTTTGAAGTACGTAGACTAAAACGGCAATTGCCGTCCGACTTGTCCAACTGAACATAATAAGTTTATACAAACTAATAAAATTTTAATTTTTAGAATTGTAAAGATGTTACTCACTGGAGACTACATGTCTGCATTCTTTTTACCATACCAAATGCTTAATGCCCAATGGGCAGATTGTTGTACTCAATGGAGTTAATAAAAAAATATATCTTGTATAAGAATACAATCATCATATGGTCGGTGGTGATTTGTTGGACAGCAATATGGGACGGAATAAAATTATTCTAAGGAGTAAAAATGGTATTTTAGAATATTTTGCCATCTACTAGATCTAACCGTTGCTAACTGTTCGATTCTTTACAAGAATTCAGCTGAACATAGAACTAAAAAAACTTTTGCCTTCACAAAAAGGGACTAGACGAGAACGATTTTAAAATTATCCAAACGCTGCATTTAACCAAACTGCAGCAGTTAGAACAGAAGCCGGTGACACAGAAATATTCAATATCAAGCGAGGTGTACGACAGGGGTGTGTATTGTCACCACTACTTTTCAATATATATTCGGAAGAAATCTTTGCACGAGCACTAGAGCAACCAAGAGAAGGTGTTAAAATTAACGGCAGAGTTCTAAATAATGTACGATACGCCGACGACACGGTCCTAATTGCAGAGAGCGCACAGGATCTCCAGACACTCTTAGATCGCGTCAGATCGATCGGAGAACAATACGGCCTCAGCATTAACGTCAAGAAAACAAAAACAATGATTGTCTCCAAAACATCCATCCATCCACCCATGGCTTTAAACGTGAATGGTAACATTATCGAAAATGTCGAGAAATTTCGATATCTAGGGTGCTGGATAACGAAAGATATAGATCCAGACATAGAAATAAAATCGCGAATTGAACAAGCAAGAAATGTCTTTTTAAAAATGAAACAAATGTTTACGTCCCAAACATTCAATCTCAAAATCCGATACCGAATGCTGAAATGTTACGTTTACAGCACCTTACTGTATGGAATGGAGGCCTGGACCTTCAAAATCAACACTCAGGCGTTTGGAAAGTTTTGAAATGTGGTTATTTCGAAGGATGCTGAAAGTCCCCTGGACAGCGCATATGAGCAACGAGCAGGTCCTACACAAGATGGGTACCTCATATTTGGGACACATATACAGAAATGAGAAATACCAGCTACTGCAGCTTCTTATAGAGGGGAAGGTAGAAGGAAAACGTGGTCCTGGTAGACGGCAGGCGTCCTGGTTGAAGAACATTCGTGAGTGGACTCGTTTGGATTTTCAATCTTTAATAAGAAAAGCCAGGGACAGAAATTATTTTGCTGAGGTTATCGCCAACCTCCATTGAAGACGGCACCCAAAGAAGAGAAGATAGAACTAAAGTCACAGCCTAAAGTCATACGCTCAGTTTAGAACACAACTGGCAGAAGCATTATGCAGAGTAGGAGAGCGATTCACCACTGCAAAAAGGGGCAGATCTTCAGCAAGTGAAACTAACGAGGAGCTACAAATAAAGAAGAGAAAAGGCCCAGCTCAGGTTATGCCAGTAAAGGATGTTCGAATGGATGGAATTCACCATTGGCCTCTATGGTCCGAAAAACAAATAAGGTGCAAATTTCCACAGTGCAATGGCTATACACATGTGTTGTGTGAAAAGTGTGGTGTAGCACTTTGCTTCACTAAAACACAGAACTGTTTTAAAAAATTTTATTTTTACCAAATATTGTTTTAAGTATATAATTATTTGCATAATGTTGTTCATAAACAACACTTTTCAAAATAAAAAAAATAGTTGTTCATTATTTTTTCCCGTAAAAATAACGAAAATCCAGTCTGCAAACTTTTGTGTAACAAAAAATAAAAAATCATGCAGTGATGGGTTAACGTTGATATTCGAAATTATTTAAATAAAGTTTCTCATGATGGGGGATAAGGAAGAAGAGGTATAGCTGAGTTTCCACGAAGATCTTCCGATTTTTAAATGTTTTGGGATGTTAAAAAATATAAAAAAACAAGACCTGAATAATATTTAAAAATAACCTGTCAACCAACAGAAAATACAAGGTCTTGACTTATACAGATAACTTAATTTATTAAAAAAAAAACATCCATTAAAAACTTTTTGTTGTTGAACTATCAAGAATCGAAATATTAAAAAATTATGTTACTTCTTCAACAATAAATATAGATAAGTTGAAAACGAAAACCATATTTACCTTCTACTGGTTGTGCACAAAATTAATAATTTCTTTCCAGGTGGTGGTTGTTTCTTTAACAGGACCAGTAGTGCCTGTAAGGTTAAATTTGAGTATCTTGGACCAATGGGACCATAATCTAATAACCTCTCAATGTTATCTACGAGAATACAACTTAGAGTTGACCGATACGCATCATCAAATATCTGAAACAAAATATATATATTTACGAAATCGTTTAAATAACTACGTTTTTTTATTTAATCGTGAAATATTTTAACAAATAATATTTTGTTTTTTATCCCGTAACTCTCGTGAAACCCTCTCCTGCGATGAATTATATAGAACTCTAAACGGCGGTGATGTTACCGACTTCGAATAAATTGCAGCTGTTTACCATCCTGAATCTTCGATTAGTCACCGCTATACTCTAGCACACAAAAAATTAAATTAGACATCCAAAATCACGCGTTGTAAGTGGTGAAAACTAGTCAAAATCACATGTCCATCATGAATTCTCGGAAATTTTAAATTTAATGATTGGCGGCATCTAAGAAAATATTTTTCCTTGCCTGTCACTTTACATTTAAACAATAGAATAGTATATTTCTGCTTATAATAATAAAAATAATACATTAGATCTAGTTTATAAAATAGGTTTTCTATATACCGTCGACTATATACCTAAAGATAAAATACTCATTAGTACATTATTTTTATTTCAGAAGGATATTTAATTATTTAATCTTTCAATAGAAAGAGTACTAGCAACCGCAGATGCTTGTTTGGTCTGTATGTACATAATCATCATCATCATCATTCTGGCTTTACAACCCTGTGTGGGTCCTAACCTCCCAAAGAATTCTTTTCCAGCCGTCCCTATCCATCGCCTTCCTCCGCCAAGCACGTATTTCCATTTATTCTCATATCTTGGTCCATGTTATCTAGGAATCTTGTTCTGGGTCTTCCTCTTCTTCTTTGACCAATAGGTCTATCAAGGAGCGTTTTTCTAGCTGGGTCGGTTTGCTCCATCCGCATTACATGCCCTACCCACCTCAGACGTCCTATCTTAATGTGTTTTACGATATCTGGTTCCTGGTATATTCTATAGAGTTCGAAGTTGTATCGTCTTCTCCAGACACCATTTTCATTTACCGCTCTATAGATTCGCCTCAGTATTTTTTTTTTTTTCGAAACATCCTAACATGTTTTCATTGCATTTTGTTAAAGTCTAGGTTTCTGAACCATATGTTAGGACTGGGCGTATTATTGTTTTGTAGAGTTTTACTTTTGTATTTCTTGATATAGCTGTAGATTTAAAAAGGAGATTAAGCCGAAAATAGCATCTATTAGCAGTGCAAATTCTGCGGTTTATCTCTGCGGTAATGTCATTTTCAGTATTGACGAGCGTTCCCAGGTATACAAATTCGTTAACTGTGTGGTTGCGGACCTATTTTCATGTATTTAGTTTTATTAATGTTTATTATTAAACCCATTTTTGTAGCCGCTTCCTTTATAGTTTATTTTTATGAACGAGAGAGTAATTAGCATAATTTTAACTGGTATCTCCGACCACTCCATGGGCGTGCTCAAGATTAATTGAAAAATTACTTTGAATAATTGTAAAAAATAAATGAATTATTTCAGTGTTATAAAGTGTTATGTGTATGTAAACAAAAGTGACCTCTTTTATCACACACTATATTAGAACTGACTGGCCTACATTAAAAAGAGTTTTAAAAAATTCACATTTTTTTTTAATTTTTAAAAATTACAAAAGAGAAAAAGAGTTTTTAAAACCGTCTAAGGTATGTTAAATAGATGAATAACAATATTAATATAAAACTTACAGCTACTTGTTACAAATCCAAATCAGATTCAGAAGATGAACTTTCAGAACCAAGATTTATAATAACTGGCTCGATCATTTTATCAGTAATATTGTCCAGCTTCCACATTTTTTCCTCTTCTTTAATAGTGTGATTTACTGCCTTTTCCCAGTTATCAGGTTTTACATTATTTACGGCCTCCAAAAACAACTGTTTAACATCATGAATTTTAAAAGTGGTATTTTTTCTTGAAACTTCACTCTTTATCTGTGCCCATACCAGTTCAATCGGGTTTAATTCACAATGATATGGTGGGGATCTAAGTACTGTCATTCCACGATTTTTGGCAATTTCATCAATTTCGTATTTTTTAAATTTTTCTTTATGAAGGGCACACAACGAATAAAGTTCCTTTCTTATAGATCCGGGATGGTACGTAATATTTTTTGAACTCAGCCAATTCTGCAAGTCTTTTTTTAACCACTTGGTTGTGGGCAGTCCTTCTATAAGTCTGGAGTGATAACTTGCATTATCCATTACTATTACACAATTCTTAGGAAGAAGATCTATCATTTGTTCGAACCATTCTTGAAAGACATCAGCGTTCATGTCTTCATGGTAGTCACTGGTACGAGTTGATTCAAAAGTTAATAAACCACCTTCAACAAAACCGTCTGAACTGCCAATGTGTACTATTATCAGCCTGCGACCCTTTCCTGATGGTGGGTTTAAACCAGTAGATAAGTTATTTACAAAAGTGTGCCTTTGACTTGTAACAGTTTCATCCTGCCAAAATTTATTTGGTGTATGACCCTCGTTGATCCATGTTTCATTAAGATAAAATATTTTTCTTTTTTGGTTTCTCATTTCCTTTATGGTTCTTAGAAAATGTCTTCTCCATATGACAATATCGCTTCTTTCTAATAAAATAGACTTTCTGGGATTCTTTTTCCAGCGGAAGCCTATTTCTTTTAAAAGTTTCCATAACGTACTTCGACTCATTTCTGGGTAATCCTTATCATCTCGAACTGAGACAAGAACTTTATCCAATGTTGGAAATTCTTGTCTAAAGAAGAATTCATGCACTTTCCGTCGAAGTCCTTCTTTAAAATGATATTCTATTTGAAATTTTGATTTCCCTGAAGCATTACGTGGCATTTGAAAACTACCACATTTCTCTTCTTTAATAACTCTGTAAATCGTAGATTTCCCAACACCAAGTGTACTGCTAACTAACTCAACGGTCTCATCAACACTTTCACATAAACGTTTGTCTGTAAATGATTTAAAACAATTAAATATTAATGTTTTTTCATTAACTGTTAAAGGACCAATTTTTCGGCGTTTACACGGCACTTCCAAATTTTCCGTAACACTAGTATACACAATAAACTGCACCTTGCAACTGAAGTACCTACTTTTAGTGAACTGTTAAGACTTTTGAATACGCCACTTGGACCTTCCTACAAAATGGAAAAACCCACTATCACATTTTCTGTGGAATAAGTTTAGAAGGTAATTATCTAGTCAATTACTGTCGTAGATTCCTGGAATTAAAGAATTAAATGTTTGATTGTTGAAACCTTTACTTCGTGGAATGCACTCATTTCAGATAAAATAAAACGTTTTATTTTATCTAAAGAATTAAACTTTATTTTGCAAATAGGTAGGTACTTATTAAATTTTTATTGGTCATATATAACCAATAAAATAAACATCTTACATTTCTTGCAAATTCATTAGTACCGGTTAACCTCCATCACTCCGACACTGGCAACCTTATTTAGGGATTAGTAACCCTCACAACTATTGTATTCTATTCTGCTCCAACCTTTATACCTGTGGTCATACTCAATTTAAAATTGTTTTCCTATATACTTCTGTAAACTTGTTGACAAATATCTGTTTTTCATTGTGTCACCCGTATCAACAGTTTAGGGATTTGCATACATAATTTATTGTTTTATTACTCTCTCATACATAAAAATACACTATAGTGCTACATACGCCTCTCGTGCTGCGTTTTCCGTTCTCTTAACAATATTGATATCATCAGCATATGCTAGGATTTGCACAGATTTGTTATACATTGAACCGGTAGTTGTGATTTGTGACGTACGTATTACGTTTTCCAGAGCTAGACTGAATAGTACTGTATGTACATAATGTTTTCTAAAAACATGCTAAAACGTGTTTATTTATAAAAAGTTATACATTGAGTCATGCATTACATTAATCATATTGTTAACGAATTAGTCTATTTAATACAACAGCTGAATCAGTAGCTAAATCAACGATTGCTGCAAGTACACAACGAAGTAAATACTTTCATTTTATAAGCGTCAATAAAAACTGGAAATTCCGTAAAAGGAAGAACTGGAAAATAAAGTAAATGCTTAACTTGCTTGGTATGGAACAGGAATGATAACACAGCCAAATAAAATGAAAAAATTTGGTGCTTGAGAAATAACGAATTGTAAATATTTTCAGATCTTAGATTTAAAAAATGTCTTCTTTGTTCATAATACTTTTTCTTAATCGATTGTATAATTTTAAATTTGTTCGAAAAAATATACACAAAAGCACCTGGAAATCACCAGACGGACTTACTGTAAATATGATAGATCAGTATATACTCAAGACACCAATCCAATACAATAAACCTCCGCACCAAGAGAGGAGTAAGTGTGGATTCTGATGTAAATAAGTTTTTTGATTACCTGTTTAATAGGTGATCGAGACATGTATGACAAGGCTGTGATCCTGTTCCATTAAGAGATATTTGTGTAAGTTATAAATTAAGATAAGGAGTATAAATGGAGCAATCTAATGATACCCACAAGAGCCTTTTGATCTGAAATGTTCAATTTACTATTCAAGATAAATGTTCCTATTTCTCTAGGGATTTTTAATTTTATACGTGTATACAATTTTAGTACAAGTTAACCAAGAAAAACTTAGTGTTACTCCAAATATATTAGAACAAACTTTTACCTTTCGGATCATTAAGCATTTTGCCGTTTCCGTGTAACCAACCATTTCTTCAGGTGAACACACTTTGACAAATGGGAAGTCTGAATTTTTGGCCAATTGAGCGGCTAAAGCAGTTTTGCCTGCATTCGGGGGACCTTCGATAAGTACAGACACCAATCCTACAAAATAAATTTAATATTTATGAAAAATAGTGTATGGAATGTTTATACCACATCATATCAGAGCAATCTGCATTCTAGTTTATTAGAAAGCCTGTTTTGAATGTACGTAAGTCAACATAATATATTAAACTTTACTGGAATACCTGATGTATCTGTAGCTCTTGCTTGCTGAATGAACAACATGCCATCTTCCATAATACCCGTGACGGGCGAACCCCAATTGATAATACCTCTTGTTAAGAATTGGTTGATAATCTCTTGAGCTGTACCAAAAGCCTAAAAAAGTTAGGTAAATTCATTAGTCGATGATTTGAAATAATTTTATTAAGTAGCTAAAAAGTTTTTTATCACATGGTTTTTTTCAGAGCCTTCTTTCAGTCACAACGTATGTCTTGTATTTTAGGCATGTCTATACTAATTGCACCCAATTGGGATACATTTTGACAATTACCAGGATTGCATTAGCCAAATGTGCACTTTTGAAATTAAAGTGATATTTTACTTCAGTTTTGATTCAAAAAACAAAACTTTTATTTATAAACTATTGTAAATTGGTTTATTTAAAAATAAATAACAATGATTTCAATGCTACTTAAAGAGGAAATATCAACAATAATAATACACGTTGGGATAAGAAGTGTATTTTAAAAAATACACGAAATTTTCGTTTTTTTTTTTTGACAAAAATATTTATTTATTCGTCTTCATTAATGTTGTCTCCTTCAAAGTAATCACCCTCAAATATTACGCACCTGTGCTAACGCTTCTGCTAATCCTTGAAACACTTCTCAAAGTCGATCTTTGGGATAAATTTGAGTTCTATTAGCAATGGGCTTTTAATGTCATCTATGGTTGTGAAACGAGGGCTCTTAAAAGTTTTCTTTATTTTTAGAAATAGAAAAAAGTCGCACCGAGCCATGTCTGGCGAATATGAAGGCTGGGGCATCATTGCAGCATTGTTTTTGTCCAAAAATTACGAACAATCAATGAAGTGTAAGCTGGTGCATAATAGCCATGATGAAAAAGCCATGAGTTGTTTTTCTACAAATTTTTGTCTTTTTTCAGATTGCTTCACGCAATCAGCGTTGAACCTGTATTATTGCTCCTTATTGACCGTTTGACCACGTGGTATAAATTCATGATGCACTACGCCATTAAAATCAAAGAACACAGTGAGCATAACATTCATATTCGACCAACCTTGTTTAGCGTTTTTTGGTCTTGGCGAACCAGAATGCCTCCACTGGGACGATTGAACTTTCGTTTCGACGCCATATCCTTCAACCCATGTTTCGTCACCTGTTAAAACCCTGTTGACCAACTCTGGGTCTCTGACTCAGAGCAACTTACATTCGCCGCTCTTTCTGTAGCAAAACCGTAGCCTCTAAATGTAAGTAATTTCAGGTTTATACTTATAAAGCTTGTAATTGTCTAATTAATATATTTATTCCATATTGTAAGAATTTTAAAATTAATTTAGTGTAATTATCTACCTATCTTACCTTTTATAAATATTTATTAACGTAGGTTGTAGGTTGAAAATTATAACTTTATATAGTTTATGTATATTTAAAGTAAACTTACTGGTTTGATGTCGTTTTCCAAAGCATGCATAAAGTCCCCACGGTTAACTAACAATTTTTCCATTGCCTCAGGGTCTACCTCTACTTTGCTAGATGCCTTTATCAGTCGATTCATTGCAGTCGACTGAGCAGCTCTCACCAAACCTTCAATTTCAGCACCAGAAAAGTTTTTCGTCAATGTTGCCAGCTCCTGAAATTTTTTAATATGTTAGAAGTTAAGCAGTTGTGGTTTTACAATAATCCCACATAACCAGAACATAAGTATACATCCACAAACTATTGGAACACGAGTCATACCCGTTATGTAAGAGATATGTCAAGAGAGATTAGTAAAACTTTCTCGAACGTCTTGTATAGGTATATAGGTATATATTGAAAACCAGTTACAGTCGGATCGCCTCGTGGGCGAATCGTCGTGTATTTACGTTGCCCAGATCACAAAACAGTTGGAAGCGCAATCGGTTGCAGACCGTAGTTTTAAAAGAGTTGCGTCGTGGGCGATCTTAGTGTACAACATGCATACAACGTTTGTCTGCCTACAAAGTTGTATATGGATATATTCTGTCCAAAACCAAACCAAACAAAACAACATACGGGAGAGATCAAACAACTGAATCTATAAAATATTTGTGAATGCAACAATGTTTGGGTGAGAGAAACCTCAAGACTACCAAGTTTTATAATCGAGAATCAAAATTGTAGGCAGTAAATTCTTACATTCTATGGAACCATAAAGTTGAAATGTGCCAGATAAGTGGTAAAAATTTAACACAGTCTAAAGACAATTATTGCCAGAATAACAATTTAGATGTGCAGATGAGCAATTTGAGAATAAATTAGTGAGATATATCCGTGAAAGGAACTGAAATATAACTATGATAATATCGTGGTATCCATTTTCTTTTTGATTGTCATTTCACATTTATTATACATTTTTCTTTTAATTCATTTGTTATTGCAATATACCCACCTTTATATCAACATCAGAGCTTATTTTTTTGTACTGTTTCATCCTGGATGTATGAATTTCAAGAATTTGCACTCGCCCTTCTTCATTTGGTAGACTAATTTCTACTTGCACTTCCAATCTACCAGGTCTAAGTAGAGCTTCGTCTATCATATCTCTTCTGTTTGTCATACCTATGAAAATATGTTTCAAAAAATATACATGTATTTTATTCTTATTATGAACACTACTATCATCTAACAGTTCTAAAAGTTAAAATTATTTATGCAGAATAATATCACAAACTTTGTTAAAACCACATAAAAATAACGAAGTATTTGAATTTACTTACCAATAACTAAAATATTATTTAACTGCTCGACACCGTCAATTTTGGATAGAAGCTGGTTAACAACTGTATCATGAACACCTGTATTTCCAGCAACAGATCCTCTCTGTTTACAAATAGCATCAATTTCGTCAAAGATGATGATGTGAAGACCACTGTTGGGACCGGCCTAAAAAATAATAGAGCACACCAAAATTATTAGCATATTTCATGATCCTGGATTATATGCGAACAGTTTATATGACTAACTTACTAGTAACCTAATACACTTACCCTTTTTTCTTCTTCTTCTGCCTCTGCAAATAGTCTTCTGACATTAGCTTCGGATTCACCAACGTATTTGTCCAAAATTTGGGGACCGTTAACGATTTTAGGTTCCCGTGCATTTAACATTTTGCCGATTTGTCTCGCCATGAGAGTTTTACCAGTACCTGGTGGACCATAGAGCAAGATACCTACAACGCAATAATTGACACAAATTTTAAATTTCGCCTTCAAACTATAAACTTTTTATTAAAATTTTCACTTTATACAAGCGTTACTGTTTTTTCCTTTGTTTCATATTCTCATTTTCGTCGATCAGTAGTAAGACCTCAATCCATTATATAGATCCATCGAAAACATCATAATTTAAGGAGGCTACAGCAACGCTTATTCCTATGAGTCGGTAGTCGCATAATCACTGTGCCAAATGAAGTGGCATTTGTGATTTGACATTGTCAGTGTAAAGTTTGATAGGCTTAACATTTTTTTTATTTTTGAAGTTTTAAATAACTGTAATTTGCCGAAACGTTTGAACAACAATAAAGTATTTTATTAATCCTAGACCGAAAAAACCAAGCAAATTCAATTTATTTAACCAATTTTATTCTAAAAGTCAAAACAGTCAAAAAATATCAAATACACACACATGTGTGTGGTAAGAGCATCATTATCATCATCCCTTACACAATCGTTCTTCCCGAAGAGGTAGAACCGACAATTACAAAAGTTAAAACCGGTAAAGCAGCTGGAATAGATAGCTTAACAGTGGAACTGCTTAAATTCTGCCGGCAAAAAAACTAGAAAACCTTAGCAGGCATATTTACGTCTAAGATAAAGATGGAATTACCAGACCAGTGGAATACGGCAAACATAATTATCATTCATACGAAACGTAGCAAAGAGCATATCAAAAACTACAGAACTACAAGTTTACTCCAATCTTTCGACCAGTTTCTTTACTGTATCACCTTTTAAACGTTTTTGAACGAATGATATTCACTAGAATCTGTCACCATAGATAAGAAACTGATACCTGACCAAGCTGGATTTAGACCTGGGAAATCTTGCTGTCGTCAAATATTAAACCTTCTACAGGATATCCACAATGGTTTTGAACGAAAGGAAAACACTGAGTAGCTTACCTTGACTTAATTGCTGCTTATGACACTGTTAACTATCAAGGATTCAGAGGATCACGGATGGGATACATGAGCTCATATGGATTTGTAGGTATTTAAAACAAGAATGAACTATCCTTGAGTTAATGGTACCAAAGTTGTCCTTAAAGTGATCCGGAAATGCAAAGTAAGCAAGTAAGCTAGATTTATCTTGACTTTATTCTACAGAAGAAATGTAAAAATGGTTATGATCTTCGCTACAGATAGGTATTTTCGATATTCAAGTTAGTTTTCTTGCTATATTAATATTTTAATTTCCACTAAAAGTGGGAGTTTATTTATCACGTCGAAGGCTTGCTGAACATAGTAAACAAATAGTAGATGCATATAAGGATACAATCTAGAAGAGTAATAATATAAGATTAAATAGGAAAGTATGTATCTATAAAACATGTGTAAGACCAATAATGCTATAGAAACGAGAGCAGATACAGCAAAAACAAAACGGAACCAGCACCAGTGGAATGAATAGTGAGAGATTAACCCGAATAGCAAGGGATTTAAGATCAACAGATACAACAGATCTTAAGATAGCGAGATAACTGACAGTCAACGTCAAAAATACTACTTTAAGCTTAAAGATCCGACAAGAACAAATCCCTAATATTTAATATAGGAAGACGTTTTACATAACCTTTAGCATTGGAAAAACTATTTTAAGAAAAAGAAACTGTGATAGTTTTAAAAAAGCTGTATTCTCTAATATTTACGTAAATGAAAGAAGCAAAATAAATATGAATCTCACCTTTTACGTGTTTACATCCAAGCTGCTCCACTAGTTCAGGGGGAAATACTCTTGAAGCGAAAGCACGTCTAAATATGGCGTTGAACTCGTTGCTTAAACCACCGATTCCCATTTTTTGGAAATCCCAATCAGGATTTATAATTGACTGGCGAACTACTTTTCTATAAATGAAAATAGAATATATAATTAATATACAACAATATATACCATATGACTAGTGTTGCCCAAATGCAAGAACAAGACGAGACTTAGACATTCTTGGTCTTCATCTTGCGCCAATACACCTGGTCTTGGTCTTGGTATTGCACTCCTGGTATTGGTCTAGGTCTTGCAGCAAGAGTCTTGCAAGTCTTGCAGCAAGAGTCTTGCAAGTCTTGCAGTTATCAATTAGCCTATTGGTATTTATTAAGGGCCGGTTCTACATTCCAGGTATAAATTGGAGAATAGTTATTCTGAGTATAACTTATACTTGAGTTTATTCCAAGTATAACCTTTCGAGCGTTCTACATTGTGAAATCGACAGCGGAATAGTTATTCTGGGTATAACCACAGAACACTAAGGTAAAACGAAATAGTAGATCTGATGTCTTCAAAATTAGTTCAAATTGTTATTGACAGCGACATTTGGCATTTGTCATAACTGTAAAATTTGTTTACAATTGAAAGGAATTGAATAATTGATTGGCTTTATCTGGTATTTTATCTACGTTTATATTATTTTACTTTTCAAAATTAATATAAAATGGATAAAAAAAGATGTAAAATTTCCTTCTTAAATTTTTTGTTATCATCAACTGAGATTAGTGTTATAATATAATAACCAAAATTATGTAAATATATCTATATAGGTATAATACTTCACATTTTAAAAAAGTATAAATATTGGATTACAAAATAAATAATTTTAGTTAAAGAAATGTTTATATAATACAGATTCTAGAATTACAGTCTTTGTTATCAAAACATTAAAAAATATATTGCCTTGGTAAGATTATACCTATACTAGGTATACTAATCATATGTGTAGACGTTATTACATTACATACATATCCTAAAATTTTAGAATTGAAATAATAAATGCTTTATTTTTCCTTTGGATTGCCTAATAAAATTTCCTTTGGATTTACAATCTAAAATGTTTGTGCAATATCAAAAATTTTATTTTATATATAAAAACAAACAAAGTGAGGTTAAAATATTACAGATTTGACAACCCCTGACCGACCAATAGAAATGCAGTATAAATTTATACTCGGTATATCTGCTAAACTTTGGAGGGATAAAGTTATTCTACAGATATACTCCGATTATCTTATTCCTAGTTTATTCTTTGTTTGTAGAACACCATTAATGAAGTTATTCCAAGTATAACTTTATTCTCAGTATATACTAGCATTGTAGAACCGGCCCTAAAAGTTACTTTAGATCTTAAAACAACGTAACGGAATAAGTACATTTAAATCTTGAATTAACTTAGCCATAATAAAGACCAAACAAATTAATAAATGTCTAAACAACTGACACCGGGTGGGGTTTGAAGCCACGATCTAAGCGATCCGTGCCTATGCTCTAACTACCTCAGTTATCTACCATGCCCCACGGAAGTCAATATGTTTCTTAATAAACGTTTCCATTTAATAAGCTCACATGTGCTAAAATATTGTTAAAACACAAAAAACCATAAACTTGACTGTATTTTAAAGAACATTATCTGTCTAGAAAGTGATTGATTGACCCCCCACCATATGAGGAATCGAAATAGAATGGAATTGAGAATTGGTATGTGACAAAAAATCCTCATACATGTATCAAGGGCACAGATTCTTTAGGTGATAAGATACAAAATATAATCCACTTATTAAAGCAAAATAAATGTTACCAATCTTATTTCTACTTTTATATAAAAAACTAACTTGAAAAAATAAACAATATGTAAAAAAGCAATTATAACCAAAAGAAGTAATTTTAAATTCAGGAGATACCTACTTAATAAATATATTAATTTACCAAAATAAAGTAGTAGGTACATAATATATTATGTAATTGGTAATATGTATATTTTTTACATGTCCACTTTTTCCAGCGGTTATTAAAAAGCTTGTGATAGCTCCACCGAATTTTGGTTTTTCAGGAAGAAATATTTGTAATTCCTTTTTGTAAAAAGATATTAGATGCTTATGTAGGCAATTTACACAAAACAATTTGGGATGCATGAATTATTTCGAAAACTGATCAAATTTGCTTTTAGGTCTTTTAGATCTATAAGTCCAACTCTCACTACTCCGACTAGAACTATTTGAATCTTTGTCCCTCATGCCAAATTGTTAAACTTATAAACATATTTCATAAACCTACCCATATTGACACGACTATACAAAATTCATCATCCCATCCAATACAACATAAACTTGTAGCCTATCATAGTATGTTACATAAATTAACAGAAATTCCGATGTCAAAATACAACTTTGAGACAGAATTAAATATTATTAAACAAGTAGCAGTAAACAATGAACAAACAATTAATAAAATGTTAAATCAAAACTACACAAGAAAGCCCTGAAATTAGTACTTCCACCACCAGAGAAAAAACCCAGTACGTTCTGCTCGATTACATATACAGGCAAAATATCAACAAAAATAGCCCAACACATAAAAAAGAACGGAAGAAACGGAACACCAGCTTTCTGAACAAATAACAACATAGGCAAATATATTAAAAACAAAAAGAGCCAAAATAAAAAACACTTACACAGTGGTGTGTACAAACTTAAATGTGGCGACTGCCCAAAAACTTACATCGGTCAAACTGGTAGAAACTTTAATAAACAAATAGCAGAACATAAAAGGGCTTTCAATAATAGAAAAACAGATTCTACATAGGCACTTTAGCTTCCAGATCATAATCATTCTTTTAATGAGGGCCTTAAGCTGTCCTTGTTAGAATCTATGGAAATCAACAAATTAAGAAACACAGATATAATTCTGAATGACCAACTTGAGACAAACAGTTCTCCCCTCCTCAACCTATTTCATTAGAGACTATAAAGTGTAAACGCATGCCAAAAATAGATCACTTGAGAAAAGCAATCAGACGAAACAGCTGTTGTTGACATTTTTTACTCGAGCTTTCAATTATGATTACAATTATTATCAAGAGCTTCTAAAAAATACAAAATATCTTACAAAGTTGAACTAGAAATAAAAATTTTTTTGTTAACTCACCAAATAAAATTAGTTTTTTGTATAAAACTGCTGCTTACATATTAATTACAAAAAATATTATTAAAAAAAAATGTCCTATTCTAATAAATGTCTGAAATAAATTTTGATAAAGTTTCTTAACAAAAACAATTGAATTTGTAAACAAAAATTGAATAGCTACAAACCAGCCTAAATGTCATAAATACTAACTTAAAAATTTTTATTTTTGACATATTGTCAAAAATAAAATTTTGTTTAAAAAATTCTTCTTTGTTTAGTAACAAAAAAGAAAAAAAGAAAGAAGAATATTTATTCACCATTGATAGATGCCTGAAAAAATGTAACAAATACATGGAAAATTCAAAATGTGATATTTTACTGACTGCATATATAAATTATATAGAAATAATATAATTATAAATTTTGCTTAGATTTTGAATTTCTGACCTTTTGTTTAAATTATTATCACTTTTGCTAATACAAACCATTTCCAAAAAAGTTCTTTTAAATTTATTACTTTCACTACATAAAATTTTAATATTATCAAAATCCATAATATGGTCTTTGTCTATTACACGCTCTGCCAAAGCACAAGATGGTTTCTTAACTGTTTTTCTTACATGCTTTGGCCATAATAGATTTGATTATAGAGGCCAAGGATATGATAAAGGCTCTTACATGAAGGGAACAAATAAAGGTATTCAAGCTCGTATTTGTAAAAAACAACCTCGTCAATAAACTTACTTTAATCTTTAATTGTGGCGTATTCCCATTTAAATAGTAATTACTTTAAAATGCCACACGAAAATAGCTTCAGAACAATATTAAGGTTTTACGGTATTATCGGCACTTCATTTAAGACTTTACACATAGCAAGGAAAAACATGGTCTATATCCATCCCACAATAATAAACTAGGGTTGGGAAAAACTGCGTTCATTAGAGCATGTGATTTTCGATTGTGCAAACTTCCAGATGCTAAACCAAAAGTTAATTAAAGTTCTGGCTCCTTCGTCGCTTGAACTTCAAATGCGTTTGTTGTGCTATTACATATGTTGCATCATTTGTAAGTAAATATCTATTGTATTATTTTTTAAATAAATAGGTAAATTTTTACAAAGTTCTTTATTGTGTAATTTTAATGTTTTGACTTTTTTTACTATTTTTTTTTATTTGCAGATTTTTATATTCTTGTATTAAAAATCGCCGAATTTTGTTTTGCCCGGTGTGCTCAAAACATTACCTGCTCTGGGCCTACCATAGCATGGTACATAGATTAATAGAAATTTCCATGGTCAAAAAACAACTTCGAGATAGGAGTGAATAGTATTAAGCAAGTTGCAGTAAACAATGGGTCCGACGAAAAAAGAACAATAAAATTTTAAATCAAAAACTACATAAGAAAGCCCTGGAATTAGTAATTCCAGCACAAGAGCAAAACACGGTACTGTTACGATAATTATGGTGTTTATAACTATCAATATATTATGACTAATTCTGTTTTCTGTTCCAGTAAATTCGAAGTTGTTTACAGAAACCTCTAGACCCTAATTTTATGAGTAATCCACGTCTCGAGGCTTTTCAAACAGTTGAAAAACGAGTCGAGCGCCTTCACCAAAATACGAGATTATTCAAGAAGTTCGCCGAATTTTCTAGATGACGACAGTTGTGTATATAAATGAAAGATTTTTTATTTGGCGGTCAGTCATAAGAAGATCGGGAAACGCGATTTAATTGTAACGAAACGAAAATAAATTATTTGTCATTAGGATTAATAAAGACTTTAATAAATTCGTAATTAGTTATCGTGAGTTTTAATAAATTAGAATATAGACAATAAATTAGAATAAAGACAAATAAATTAGAACTATATAAATATATAACAGTACCTACTACTCGATTACATATACAGGCAAGATATCAACAAAAATAGTAAAACCCATAAAAAAAAAATAACACCAGCCTTAATAACAAACAACAACTTAGGCAAATATATTAAGAACAACAAAAGCCAAAAGAAAAAGCACTTACACAGTGGTGTATACGAACTTAAATGTGACGAATGACCAAAAACTTACATCGGCCAAACTGGTAGAACTTTTAACAAACGGATGGCAGAGCATAAAAGGGCTTTCAATAATAGAAAAACAGATTCTAAGTACGCATTTCACTTTCTATACCATAATCATTCTTTTAATGACCAATTTGAAATTCTTCACATTCAAAATAAAGGCCTTAAGCTATCTTTATTATAGGTTATTCCACGAATATACGACTGTTTTGGATTATTGCGACAACGAATATTTTACTGTGCAAGTAGAAGTTTGAAAGTAAATTGGTCTAAACAGTATTCAAATAAAATGGATCTACTATTAGTTTGACACTAAAATTATTTCAGTTAATAGATGTTCAGATATACGCAAAATTAATTTTGAAATTTAATCCGAAAATAACAAAAGTTTTTACGCAAACGGTCCTACAAATAAATACAATAACGTCTATAAAGCCAAAATGTGTTCATAAGACATTTGGGTTGGGTTTCCGTGAAATGTAAACAGCAAAGAGTCGTGCCGGGTTTCTTTGATATTACATTATTTTATTACTGTATTGGGTACTGCAACTGTAATAAAAGAAATATACTATTTTTAATATAAATGAAAAGAAATTGGCAGAACGATGGTTCAGAAACCAGAAAAAGGATATAATATTTCACTTTGTTAGCTTTAAATATTTGTTTCTTTTGCGTGGATGTACTCTTAAAAGTTCCTAAAGTAACGGGTATGGTATAACATACCAGCTATTGATAGTTAAAGTACCGAGTCGTTACATATTAAAAAGTAACGAAAATTTACATACAGTTTCATATTATATCGCCGACTGATTTTAGTTTTAAAAACCATTCGTATAGAGGTGCCGTTAAGAGAGAATTTAGTGCAGTGTATTTGTTTATTGAAGCCAAAAATGCCGGGACGTTTTTAGATATAGACAACTTTATATTTAATGTACTTTCTCATTGTAAAGTTCTGTGAATCTGATGGTTTTGATGATAGTTTTAGGAGGTTAGGAGAATTAGAAAATAAGTGTAAGTTTTTTTTGTTCTTTTAATACTAATTGAATATTTGACTAAACAAATTACACTATTTAATCACCTAAGTATTGTTACACTTCATTTAAATCACTTAATTCAAAAACCAACTTGTTTACAATACTAAACTCAATGATAGTAATTATATACTTCAAAATCTGAAATACAACTGTTCTATAAACTATCAACTCTATATTTATATCATGACTTCATATTTAAATTTAAGGTTTATATCTGTCATAACAGTATTTTAAAAATGGCGAGAATTTACTATTGTACAATTCAGCACATTGGACCATTTAAATCGATACCTTAAACAAAATTTAAAACAGTCGTATATTAAATTTAGAAATTTTAATTAACACAGACACTAATAAATTTAGAAACACAGACATAATTCTGAATGACCAACTTGAGGCAAACAGTTCTTCCCTCCTCAGCTTATTCAGTTACAGACTACCTGTAAAGTGTAAATGCATGCCAAAAATAGATCACTTGAGAAATATACTCTGCCGAAACAGCTGTAGATAATAAATAAATAAATTTTGGGGGGAGTTTTGAAAACAAAATAAATAATAAAATTACTTTATTCAATTTTAAAAGTATTATTTAAATTTAATGATTGATGCATTGAAAACTTGTACTAGCATCAAACGGCACAGTTAAAAATAGACAATTCTATATCCAAACCCATACATATAAGAAGAGGCGTTCGACAGGGATGTGTGCTTTCCTCTCTTTTATTTAACATTTATTCGGAAGCCATATTTCAAGGGTCTTTGGAGGATGCAGAGATGGGAATCAAGGTGAATGGAGTATTGATCAACAACATACGATATGCTGATGATGGTGTCTTAATTTGTGACAACATAGTCGATCTTCAACAATTTGTCACTATAATCGGAGAATACAGTAAGCGAATGGGATTAGAGATTAATACCAAAAAGACCAAATTTATGATCATCTCCAGAAACTTAGATGCACTTGAAAAGTCCACCATAACACTGAATACTAAGTCCATTGAAAGAGTGAGTAAATTTAAATACCTGGGATCGTGGCTTTTTGAAGACTGGGCATCGGACAGGGAAGTAAAATGTCGCATTGAGCAAGCTCGACAAGCTTTCGTAAAATTTAAGAAAGTACTGACTTGTTCAGAGTTTGATTTTCAACTGAGACTAAGGTTTACTAAGTGCTACGTATGGTCAGTGTTGCTATATGGCGTAGAGGGCTGGACACTCAAAACGAGGGATATAAACAGATTAGAAGCTTTCGAAACGTGGCTTTATCGCCGTATCCTAAAAATACCATGGACAGCGAAAATCACAAATATAGATGTCCTTAAAAGAATAAACCAAGAAAGCCAACTTTTCGAAACCATCAAGAAAAGGAAAACGGCGTATCTAGGTCACATCATGCGAAATGAAAAATACCAGTTCCTCCAACTTATAATCGAGGGTAAAATTGAAGGCAAGACAGGAATGGGACGCAAGAAAATGTCTTAGCTCCGAAACATAAGGCAATGGACAGGGACTAACGACATACAATCTCTGATACATATTGCAAGAAATAGAGAATTAATGGAAAATGTGATCGCTAACATCCATTAGTGGATTTGCATCTGAAGAAGAAGAATTTAAATTTTAAAAATACAGAAAACATAGTATGGAGTTCATGAATGTCTACATTACAGCCCACTGTAGCACTTTATATATACATATATACATATACATCAGATTTTAACAAGGAATCCAGGTACGGCTGTAATAACGGCTCTTTTGGCCCATCAGACTTTGCTGCAGTAATAAAAGAAACCGAGATGTGAGTTGATATCTTTTTATACAATATTCAATTTCATTTCCCTTTTAATTAAGAAACATTAATTGATATTACCAAAATCGGAAATCGTATCTATGGCCATCAGGCAACCTGGATCCATGTTACTGGACTTTTTGAAATATTGAAGACAGGCTGGATCAAGCACAGTCAGTATCATTATCAGCATCATTATATTAGATAAAATGTCTATTAGGTTAAATTAGCATTAGGATAAATGACAAATTTATTAGGAGTAGGTAAAATGTCTATTAGGTTAAATTAGGATTAAGTCAAATGATGCGAGTTTAGATGACTTTCGGATAAATGACATTAGGTCAAACATCCTTTAGATGATCTGTCTTAAGTGTGTTTAGGCGAAGTGTTACAAATTCTAAAATATATCATACTTTAATTGACAAGAAGTTAAACTCATGAATTGTACATACCCTTTAGATTTTCCAACTAGATTCAATGAAGAGCTTTCAGCTTTTTCAAATTGCACTAAAGTGTTTGGTATCAGCTGACCAAGTTTTGCTTTTCTGGGCTTGACATCACCGCCAGCTTTTATTTTTGAGATATCTACAACTATAAACAACAGAAATTAATCACTTTATATATAATATATAATTGGTGGATTTTTGTTTTAATAAGTTACAAATTGTTTCAATAATTGAATTCAGAATTGAAATTGAGATTTGTAATCAATGGATTCAATTCGTGAACAGATGTTATTAATACACAATAAACTTGAGCAGGGGTCACAAAATTCATATGCACATTAATTTAGTATGCGAAGAAGCTAACAAAAATATAACAAACTAATAGGTATATATACAACTAATGTTAAATTAAATGTTTATGAACAAGTGGTCATCCATCCTATTTTTAAAGACACTGGTAGATACAGTATCTATAACCTCGTCTGGGATTGTTACAGAAACTCCAAAATAAAGCAACAGGAATAATTCATGCAGTTCAAGTGAACTACTAGTCAAATTAAAGATAGCAATTATATGTATATTCACAGAAAAAATCAACAAGTCTTAATGCATTCTTTGATTTTTGATGTTTTAATCAATCTAGTAAATTGTCAAATGAAATCAAGATATCTAATGTCTAACTATGAAAAAAAAAGATTGACAGAATGTATTAAAAGATCTAAGAGTCTAAATTAATAATAATTTATTTTACAATACTAATCTATCTGTTGTTTTCTATAGTTCAATTTGTACCTTATTGCTTGTAAATTATGTGTGGATATATGTGGATAATTAAAATTTTATTTGAGATTCTGAAATATTAAGTTTAAATATTTTTAATAATAAAGACTATTTATATTTTCTGTTTTTTCTGGTAAGGATTTTGCTTATTATATCGCACCCTCAGTGCAAGACTGCAGTAAGTCAGAATAAGTAAGTTTCGAGATAAAGACAATTTTGTTTATTTTCGTGCTAATGTCGGTCAAATAAGACACCAGTTTTAAAAAAAATTAACATTTATTTATGATTTTGCATGCTTTTCAGCCTATATTACATTAACCAAAAATAGAAATTTAAATAAAATAATATTACTGCTAAAAAAAATAGAAATTTCAAAGTTACAACACTTTTGCACAGAGAAAATTGTTAATCACTACACATTTAGATTAGAATTTTAAAGTTACAAAACTTTTGCATGGAGAAAATTGTAAAAAGTGTAGACACATTTTCTGTTAGTTGTCCTCTTCTCGTATATCATCTTGGGCCAAAATATTTTTATAAAAACTATAGAGGGCTTCTGTAATCATACCCGAATGGCAATAAATCATCGGGTAAGTAAAGAAAAATAATCCTGCACATATTTCTGATAGCCACAATTCCTTGGCTTTGTAATGACAATGTCATAACAGGGTAGAAAAATTATTTGTAAAACTTTCAATATTTTTATTTAAATTCAAAACAAAAGGACTAATAAAAATATGCAAATCAGGCTACCTTGAGTACAGTGATTAACAAAAGGATAAAAATTCAATACCTTAGTAAAAGTAACGGGGAGACAATATGATAAAACAATCGCGAAAGTTACATGAAGATTTAATACAATTTGGGATTTAGTTTTTATAGAACAAGTTTTCTGAGAATGGATGATATTTTTAACCTGTCAGTATTATTAATACACAAGTTTTAAGATAACTGTTGTTCTTTTCATAAGAAAAAATACTTTTTGGCTGTAAATCATTAGTCTTAATTTATGTGTTTTTAATCCAGTCTAATAAATAAATGGTCAAACGACATCGCACACATTTTATGGAAAATATAATGTCACACAAAGGACATAAAACGTACATGAATAAATTGGTAAATCGTAAATCTTTGTTGATTGTCTCGGTCGTTAATGGATTACGTAAACGTACGGATTACGCTGTATATTAAAATTAAACACCACACATATAGATATTAAATAAAACATATCTTACTTTTTTCGTGCCTTGCATTGCTTGTTATCGAAACCATTGCAATGTTTTGTGTAAAACTGTTGTAACTCTGTTACATTAGAGTTACAACAATTTTGCACAGAACTTATGTACAAAAACGTAAAATAGTTAAACTGTTGTTGTTGTAATATTTAGTCAGTTAAGCATTTGAAAGTTACTAAAATTTAACAGGGGATAAATATGCATGTTTACGATCGAATTCCATGATTACTTAATTTTCATAAAATTTTGAGTTAATACAGTCTTGCACTGAGGGTGCGATATCTGTAACAGAGTGAATAAGGTAGAGACAGCTATTTAATCAGAAACAGGCTGATTGGTTTTGCATATTCACTTCACTGCAAGTATGCATCAGCATTAAGCAGTAAAAATCTAAACACTTATAGATTATTAGAATATTGTTTCAGTGGTTGTTATAAATGTCACAAAAAAATATCCAAAATAAGTTTAATAGTAAAAGTTAATTTTTTGATCTTACCTTCAATATCTTTAATCATAAGAAGAAGTAGCTTTTTGTCTTTGAAAGCAAAAGCTAGCTGTTGTCCAACAGTAAACATCTGATTGGGAAAAGAATACAGGAATTCTTTTGCCATTTCATCTGTGTCATACTGTTCTTGCGATGTTCTAAAAATAAACCATGATTAATTTACCATTAATTATTACTTACTTCATTTTTTATTACTAATTTATTTATATTTAATGTATAAGAGATAAGATGCAGATAATATATTGCAAATATATACACTATTTTGAGTACACACAGCTTAAAAAAGCATGTAACCTCACTCACATATAGGGAAATGAAACAAGCATAGGAACTTCATCTGAAATCCTTTTAAGCCTAATTTCAATAAATTTTTAACCTATAGACACACCCAGCAAATTTAAAAATTTCAGAAGGGCTCATTTCTCATTGTGACCCAGATGGTTCTCAGACTAATAGAATAGCTGGTTAGGATCTGAAGAAACCTAAATTTAATATTTGAAAAGCTCTGGGAAAACTATCTAGCATCTTTTAGACAGAGGCAATAATAAGAATACACACACACACTAAAACAGCTTATTATATTTATTTGAGAGGCAGTGCTAATGGATTACTATGTACATCACTATAAACCCAATGTAATCTGGAACTGTGCAAACCTATAGAAACATAAAATATTTACTTACGTTTTTTTCTGCATGTAATCAGCCTCCAACACAATAGATGAAATATATTCATCAGGATTGTATGGTTCAACATTGATTTCTTGGTTAAGGGACAGGACAGCCCACTTTCTTTGAGGTAAACTAAATCCAACATGGTACCTAGGAATACTGGGATGGCTTTTAATGGAAAACACAAAGTTTTGACCTCCCCCTGTATGAACTTTCAGGTGTCTGAAAATAAAAAAATCAATGTGTGTGGAACTTATGAGTATGATTAAAAACTATTGTACTGATTAACTATTGGTTTTTCCATACAACTATATTAAAAAATCATAAGCAATTTAACACCTTGGCTGCCACAATATAAAAGAAACTATTTTTGGCTCAAACATGTCTATTGGTCAGAGACATGTGGATACAATCATCCACTTCTAATCAAGGTTCTGATGGCAGCAAAGTTATAAAAAATTAGATCTTTAGAAGAAATGCTGAATTATCCACAAATTATTGATGTACACATAAGGAATTTAACTAATATAAAATTATATCACAAATTTAAAAATAATAAATGTGATTCGAATTTTAAAGTATGAATGTTAAGTCAATCATCCAACTCCTTGAAATGAATATAGCACAAAGACTTAATTTATTAGACCCTTTGGCTACATGTAGAAAAAGTGATAGTATAAAAAGATGGAACTGTTTGTAGTAAATAGGGAGAAGAAAGCCACTAGATTGGGTATAAAATAAAAATAAAAATAAAATAAAAAATAAAAACATATATTGCCCTAATTTAGTATGTACATTGCAAAATTTAATATTTCATTTTTTCGGAGTCCTGGACTTCTTTGGGTGGCATCCTCGTCTTCTTCTGTAGGTACTTATTTCGGCATCTTACCTACTTCCACTAGATTGGGACAACTCATTTACTTTGCAGATCATAATTATAGTTTTAAAAAAGCTATTGAAGTAATATGCAGGTAATATCCAAATATTCAACAAATTTAACCATTTTGATTAATGCAGCCAAGAACCCCTTTTCTTTTATCCATTATTACCTCAAGAGCTATTTGCAACCTTATGAACATTGTGTTATTTTATTACACATCTTACCATCTAAGTTGTGGTCTTCCTCTTTGCTTTGGCAATTATATTGTCTACAATTATATTGCAATATTAGTTTGTTCATTTGTTATCCTTCTGTGGCATGCCCAGCATTTACAGTTTGATATTCAACAATAATTTTCTTTGTATAAACTATATAAAGTGCTGGTATTTCATTATGTGTACCTACTTCATATAAGTAAGTAAAATTTAGACAGGTAACTAAGTACTATATGAGAATAAACCACACAATTATAATTAAAAGTATGCTATATTTGACATTTTGATTTCCACCTTGAAAATAATTCTCAGAATATAATATAAAAACCACTTCCTTATATTTGTTTTATTGCCAAAACTATCTTTGTATTTTTCTACCAAGATTATACTGAATTAATAACCCTAAAAATAGATAAGGAATAAAGAAAGCTGAGCAACTATTTAGAATAGCTTGAGACAGAGACAGTTTCGCCATGTTAATCGCCAACGTCAAGGGGACTTGATAGGGCACGTTAAGAAGAAGGAAAATAGATAAGTAATCCAAAAATGAGATTTAATTGAGTTGAAGTATAAAAATTTAAATTTGAAAAATTTTGTTCCTTTAGTGCCATACTATAAGAATTGAAATTTGTACACAAATCAACTTCTGCAAACTTTGCAAAAGATCTTAAAAATAAATTTTCAAAATACAATATGAAGAAACTGCTCTAAATTATGCCTTTTATATTACAGTTTACACTGAACTTAAAAAAATACTCCATTTTGTGTAGAATTATCAAATTCTGAGCGGCTATCAATTTTTGCTATCTTTTATGATCTAAGATATTTAATATAGTTTCACATATCACGCAAAAAGAAAACCCCATGGGAGCACAGTATTGTTAATTAGATGATAAACCCCTTGGTTAAAAGCTAATAAAAGTATTCAAATTACAAGTGAATTACTACTCACTTTGCTCCTGGTAAATCACCATCATTTACAACAGCACAGTTTGACAAAGACAACTCATCTGTTGGACACTTTGCTACTTTGAAAACAGCCTAAAAAATGAAAATTTTAATGCTTAATCTTTATATCAGTATCTAACCGACTTAAACTAACTAAATTAATCTTAAACAATCTTGTTTTTATTGTCATACCATATTCGAAGTATTTAACTATTGGTGCAATGCAGACGGCCGAACGATTTGAAAATCAATACTTGAACAATATTTTGGTTGGGTTGGATTTGGATTCCATGACACATAATAAACATAACCTCAATTGTCACTGTCAGTGAAAATTTGACTAGTATTGGAAATGCATTCGTTTATGTGAGGCGAAAAAATATTTATGAATAAAAATAAAATATGATCTCATGATTTGCTTTTGTTTGATTTAAACTTTGATAGGCTAAAAATCATAAGAAGAAAAAAACACAACTTGATGATTCTTAGATAATTAATGAACTCGAAATGATTTTTCGTTTACACATACAGTGCCGTATCATTTCATTTTAGTATTTTAGAAGTTGATGTTATATCATTATATTATTTATCTATGGTTATATCCCTTTCATTTTCGTCATTTTGGTATTACTGGAATACCAAATTTTTTTCTATGCCTTTTGTTCTTCTGTCTATGTATCAACTTGATATCAAATTGAACTGCCTCAAAAGGTTGACTGAGGGAACCAGGCCGCACCCCATATCATGTTAGACCTTATACCTATCCAGGGAGGGCTGCAGGTGTAGACAGATTACTTCTCCCGTACTCGGGGATACATATGGAACCATGTACAAACCTAAAAATATAAATCACAGGGGACTAGCAGGAGGATTCAACTATTACTTCCAGCGAGCTTGTTCGACAGACTCTGAAAGAGAGCACCTGCCACATCGGGTAATAAAAATACTGAGAAAGTCATGCGGACTCATTTGAAAGATGCCGAGAGGCTTGCTGTTTCTCGGACAAATATATATCTGGGGCACAGAGGAGGATGCTTTTCAGCGGAATTGACAGTTCTTAGGTCAAATTACCTCATAGACCTCAAAATAACGTTCTAGAGAATGCCGAAATCACACATGCTGTTAAGCGGACCGTGTCTGATAGAAACACTCCCAAGGAGAAATTAACAAAAAAGAGCAGAACTACTGCTGTCTCTTCTAAAGGGTTCAGCGACAACTACAAAGCTGCTTTTACTGAGATAAAGGCAGCAGCCATTCCCAATGAATACCCAGACAAATCTGGTCTGAGCATGATGTTGGGGTAATAAAAGATGCTCTAACTAAATTTATTGACGAGGCTCCTTGCGCACCTCGTTATGAAAGTAACCGACTCATGGATGGATGCTATGGGTTGATATGTGCAGACGAGGAGTTCTTTTAGACTACAAAGGACTTTTTCAAATAGAAGACGGAGTGAAAGTTCGTTAAAGCTATAGAACTCCCAAAATCCATGCGCGTGCCGATGTAACTTCCAGAAACTAAAAATGAGGATCTGAAGGTACCATTGGCATGAATTAGTATACAAAATTCTGGACTCAGGACCAATAGTTGGGCGATTTGGTTTCCAGACCAACAGCTAAAGGAGAACTGCATGTGAGGATCCATGTTAATAAGGATTCAGAGGAAGAGCTCAAAAGGTTTCAACGGAAGGCTTTTTATCTTTTCCAGCGAGCTATTTGGATCTTAAATGTTATTGGAAGAGGGCAAAATAAAACAAAAGATTTGGAAACCAAAGCCTGCAAACACTACTTCCAAACTGCCTTTGGATGTCCCAAAAATGAATAAACTGAAAGTTTAAGATCGTACAGATTAATTTGTCAGCTGCCAGAATTAAAAATAACTGCGATGGGTTGGTTATAGAGATGATTTTTGCATCTCTTTACTTTCCTATTGATTCTAAAGAACAACTTCCAGGGACTAACTTCTAGAGATCCTAGAGATAACCTTCTAGAATATACCAAAAATAAACGCGAGAGCTTATTATTGGTGTCGACTTCAACGCCTATTATACCATTTGGCGTAGCAGAAATATAAAAAATAGAGCTAAATTACTTTTTGAATATCTTTGCACTACTTGGTTTGATAAACAGGGGTAATAAGCCTACCTTCAGAACATCAAGAATAGAATTACTGATCGACCTAAACCTATATTCTATGGAGATTGGGGACCTAATATCTAACTGGTATAATATACGATGCGTTATCCTTATCGGATCATGTATACATATGATTTGAGATAAACTCAGTCACACCAGAACCAAGGTTTTCTAAGAAGACCGAATGACAATCATTTAGGAAGGACCTTCAAACAAAAGTACGGACTTTTCCTAAAGGACCAAAAAACAACGTTGAGGTGGAGCTCTCAGTAGACTAATTCCAACTGGCAACAAACGTCTCATATGGGAAAATTGCCCGCTAAAAGAAAGTCGCCCGCCCAGACAAGCAGCTTGCTGAAATAAGGAGCTGTCTAATCTTAGAAGAGAAACAGGACGGCTCTCTAATAGTGTGAAGAATATTCGCTAAGGAAAAATCTTGGAAAGAATTATGTGAAAACATTAAAAGTGTACCTAAAAGTGCCAGGGTTAACAGTGCAAATAATCATCAAGCAAACTTTAGCCCAACGAGAAGTGACTGCGTGACCTCTGAAGTGATCTTTGGTTCTCACAAGATTAAATGAGCTATTGAAACTTTTGAACCATACAAAACTGCAGAATCGGATGGCATATTTTCTAGACTACTCTAAAAAGGACTGGAATAAATACCCGTGCTCTGGGATACATGCATAAGTATCAAGCATATAAGAAATCAGGTGAAGTCTCCCTGTAGAAACTGGCATCGAAATTCAAAAGGAGTTTACACCAGAAAGAAGTCACACTTGTTGCATTTTTCTAGTCCTAGAAGCTGCATTTGATAATATCTCTATCGAGTAATACGTAGTGCGAAGTGGATTATTCAAATGCTTCAGAGCAGAATGATATTCACAGACACGCATGAAGGTGCCATAAACCCTAGGGCAACTAAGAGTACTCTCAAGGGGGTGTATTGTCAACAAAATTATGGAATATAGTAGTTGATGATCTGATTTATAGACTTAGCAGGCAATTAATCTGCGATATGTTATTATTACATAGAGAATTGGTGTCTGAAAAACCTGTAAACCCTTCCAAAACTAAATTAGTAGCCATCACTAATAAGAGGAAGCTTACAGGACTTAAATAACAAGATATGGTACAAAGATCTTACGACCAAGTGCCAAAAATTAACGAGTCTCTCCTGAACTAAAAAAAAAAAAAAAAAAAATAAGAAAAGAACATAATATCTTCATTTTTTGTTTTTTAAAATGCGGTTCACATAATGAAAAGTGATGAATCTAGTTTTTAATGTGTGTCCATATTTGGATTCTTTTAAATTATCTATTTTTAATTAAAAGTCCTGTCAATTTTATTATTATTATTGGTCCAAAAATACATAAAAATTATCAAACCCAAATTTACTATGATTAGTTCCCAGTCTATAATGATTACAAAACTAAACTTCCGTAAAAAATAGCCTTTAAGATTATTTTAAATATATATTCTTACACCACTGGTCATCCGTTTTCAATCAACTTGTGTATGTTAAATATAACATCAAATAATATTACAGATTTGAACATCTGGCAACAGCGGTTCTTGACAATTTGAAGGTTATGAATTATGTAGGAAACTTTTAATTACTGCATTTTATTCAACCGCGAACGGTGGAGAAGGTAGGTCGGTCATTTTCGATTTTAGTGAACGGTAAAGTTTACGTTATTTTTTTTTTGTTTATTAATAAAAATGTGTTAGTGATGGCTCCTAATTATAGCAAAGTTTTAAACAAACACAAGGTTCTTGCTGGTGCAGGAGCCTTAGGAACAATTCTGCTTATTATTTTGAAATATAGGAATAAACAGGGAAAACTTAACAAGTGAGTCGTTCTTCAGCTGATACATACTTTCGCTTTTTGATAGTTGTCTAACAAGTATTATATAATTAACAGCACTTATATTATCTTAAAAATGTATAGACGACTTTTAACACTTTCAACATAATGTGTATATAAATAATACAAATAGAATTTATTATTAAATAAAATATGTAGTATGCAAACAAAGAGTATAGATGCATATGCGTCTATATTCTTTGTAGTAACTAGTAACTAACGCAGGGAATTCTTTTAGCAATATACTGTGACAGGGATATATTGTTAAGATATTCTATGTATTTAAAATTTTTGTTTTATTATTGTTAGGTACTGTGTTTCACTTTTAAATATTATGTAGTAATTACTTAATTACTACATTTATACAACAGTGTCATCATCATTTCGATTACTCATGATCTTAATGATGTGATGTATGGTGCCACATATAATATGTATAATCCAGAATCTTATCTCGGATACAGTTTAATGCTAAAAGAATCTCAGATTTGAAGTCTGAAAGTTTGCACTTCCCTCAGTGTAAGATATTGACTCCTGGTGTTGCATTCACCAATGTCACTATTAGTTTTATTTTTAATAGAGCACCCTATATATTATGGAATTTTTAGATTTTGACATAATAATTTCCAATGCTTAAATAAATAAGAATAATTTCTATTCTTTCTTGGAAGAGTGCAGTAAACCATTAACAAGTACAACTGAATTAACAATACACTGAATTGTTAAAATTTCTTATCACTAATTACTGTTTTGTCTTAATAAAACTATATTTGGCATGTTTTTGTCAAGGGCAATCCAGGACCGATTTTGGGTGAGGGGGTTGGCATGAACTTTTTTTCGGGGTCTGGTGAATTTTTTTTTAAATTATGGGTTAAAAATGGGTTTTAGGAACTCCACTTAGCCAGAAAATTCTTCATCTTCATATGGATCTTTTGCCCTTGATTTTACCTTGCATTATGAGCCCTAATATATCATATTTCGCACTTTTGGTAATGTGGCCTGTAATGTGGTAATGTAATGTGGTTTTGATGTGCTTTATGACCTCACAATCCTTTTGTAGCCTTCTGCATTTGTAACTAGTTGGGTCCATGGTATTTTCAAAATCCTTCTATAGCACCACATCTCAAATGATTCCAACTTCTTTATATTGTGCACTTTTAGTGTCCAGTTTTCTATTACATACAACAAAGTTGAAAATATGTACCATCTTAAAGCTCTTATCCTCAGCCCATGAGGAAGGTCTCAATTAACAAACATTGTTTTCATTTTTATAAATGCTTGTCTTGTAATTTCAATGTGTGTCCTTATTTTTCTACCTTGGTCATTATTTTTAGTTACCCAGGTTCCCAGATATTTGTAGTTATTCACTCTTTCTACTTGTTTTCCCTCGATATCTAGCCTCCCTACTGTATGTTGCTTAGAAATAATCATGCTCTTGGTTTTCTTAACATTCATTTGTAGCCCATATTTTATACTGGCTTGATGTAATCTATTTACTAAGCTTTGCAGTGCTTCTAGACTGTCTGCAAAAACAGCGGTGTTTTCTGTGAATCTTATGTTGTTCAAGATTTCTCCATTTATTGCTATACCCTGATGTTTCTCTGATATTGCTTCCTTAAAAATAACTAAGCTGTACAGATTGAATAACAATGAGGAGAGCATGCAACCCTGTATAACACCTTTTTTGATTTCTATAGGTAGTTTCTGTATCGACATTTTCGATTCTAACCTTTGCTATTTGATTTCAGTATATATTGACAATAACCCATATATCTCTACTATCCACATTATTTTCTTTTAATGGTTTTCGAGTTTCTGATGTTGTACTCTATCAGAAGCCTTTTGATAATCTATAAAGCAGACATAGAGATCCTGGTTCATATCTAGTTGTCTTCGCATGAGAACGTTAAAATCAAATAGAGTCTCTCTTGTTCCTAGTCCCTCTCTGAATCCAAACTGGGTGTCATCTACATCTTCTATTTTTTTGTATAGTCTTCCATGTATTATTTTGATAAATATCTTAAGGAAATTTAAGGAATAGTTTCATTATGTATTCTTGCCAAAATCTTAGTTTATCTTTGATGTCTGCAATGAGATTATTATTATCATCTTTGAGTATCCCATAGTGTGTTCGCTTTTTGGTATTTGTTAGTTCTTTTATTTTTTATGCATATTAAATCTGATGTATTTTCTGTCATACTCTTCTATTTCTATGCATTGATCTGTTAACCACTTTTCCTTGGCATTTTTTATCTCTACTTTAATTCTACTTTGAAGTTCTGGATATTTTGGCTCATTTCTACCTTTGGCTTTTCTCCTCTCTTCCATTAATGCTAGAATTTCTGAAGTCACCCACTTCTGTTTCTTATTTGTCTTTTCAGGCTTTAAATTTTCTTCTGCATCCTTTAGTAATGCCTTCTTAATATTGCTCCACTTTTCATTGATATCTTCTGATGCTAAGATTTCTTCTCCTATTTCTGTTAGATTTGAGTTGACTTGTTGGATCACTTTTTGATGTATTTCTCTTTTCTTAATTTTGTATAATCAAATATTGGTTTATTTTTTGGTATTACAATATTTTTGAGTTTCACATGCATTTTAGCTATCAGCAGGTTATGGGCTGTATTGACATGGTCTGGTCTTTGGGGTATGTTTTTACTGCTTTAATTGGGTTTTTGTATCTATTTTTGACTAATATAATATAGTCTATTAGATTTCTGACTATGCAGTCTTTGTTGTCTACAGGAGATCTCCAAGTGTATAATCTTCTGTCAGGTCGCCCGTCGCACGCGAGACGTACCGTCGCGCTCTTTGTCCACCCTTTTGTATCGCAGAAAAGGACGAGATACCGATTTTTGCTGTGGGATGGGAGAGAGATTTTTCTGTGGGTAAAGAAATTTATTATTCGACTACCTCAACATAAAAAATGAAAATAATACTGAGTAAAACAAGGACAAAGAAAGCAATCTAAAACTCTATTTGCAGTTACATCTTCTATCTTTGAAAGTCGATATGGCATTGAAAACAGCCTTAGTCACCAGATTAGCATCAAGATATTTTGTTTGTAGAAGTTGACTTAGTGGCAATTCTAATATGTCAATCAGTGACATCATTGACACTAGAAACTCAGATGTGCGTAAAGAATTAAGCAAAGTTGATGCAAGTGTAGCAGTCTTGGGATCCTTCCATGTTGAAATAGATGTTAGTGCTTCAATTATATGTAAAATGCCAGATCTGAACTGGATTACACTTTCATGGCGCTCAACCCATCTTGTTTCGCATTAACTTGTTAAATTTTGTCTGAGCTTCTGTTTGAAAACTTCATTTCTCTTGGCTGACATGTTAAAAAATGATATTATTGACTTCATTGTTCCCACTGTGTTTGTGATGGACTATACACTAATAGAAGTTGAACGGGAGTTGTTTAAAATATGATTTAGACAAGGACATCTAACTGCATTTGTTGTGACCTTTTTTTTTATTTCTATTACTGCACGGAGCTCATTACGCTTCAAATGTCAATACCGATTATTACACAGTTCTTCGGATCCAACTGCAGTTCTTTTAACAAGTTTACCATTTTCCCCACGGCTTCTTCTGTCAAATTTAGCCCAAGTAATAATCATCAACGTCATTAGACATATGATATTACTAACAAATCCTATCAGATGCTCACATATTTTATAGACAGAAAAAATTCCATGATTTTTTTTGAAATGCTATTGTCTTTTATATCTTAAAATATCTTAAAATGGATTGGGATTAACAATTATCATTTTTTTGTCAGACAACTGACAAAAATTTAAATGTAATTTCACTCTGTAAAATTGTGTTTGTCTGTATTTTATGTTGTATATTTTTATATATACATATTTTGTTGCATATGCATTTTTTGGCCTTTTGTTGTAAACAAACTGTTTTGCTGATTAAAAATTTATTAATTTGCCTGAGAGAAACTTATTAGCATAGTCTGAACTTGAAAAGAGAAGGCAGCTTTTACTTTCTTTAGGAACAAGAAATTCTAGGAGTATCATTTCAAACTAGAAATCTTTATTAAATTATGATTTATGTATTAATAATACATACAGGATAGCACAAAATTATGGTTTAACACTTTATAGTTCAGGGTTTTATTAATAGATCACTGAAAATTTTAATTTTTTTGAATCCTTAATATTTATTTAAATTTGGAGAAAAAATTACCATAGATATATCAACTGTAGTAAACTGAGTTATAGTTTTTGTTTTAATATATTTCCAATATCAATTCAATAAAAAAATTATCATTAAAAAAATTTGCTTACTTAATTTAGATTTACACCTTTAATAATACAAGTTTCATCTCATATTGTCCGTCTCCAGAGATCTCTGTCTCTGGTCATTTCTTTTAATTCATGCATAGGTCTTTGGCATATTCCTGTAATTTGATCTATCCATCTTGTTGGGGATCTTCCTCGTGATCTTCGGCCTTCTACCTTTCCTTGTATTATGAATCTTTCCATGTTTTCTGTGTTTGCTCTCATAACATGCCCAAAATATTTTAATTGTTGGAGATGGACTTTACTAGAGAGTCGTTGGCTAATTTTTAGCTCTCTTAAAATTGAATTATTTGTTCTACGGTCGGTCCAAGGAATTCGTAACATTCGTCTCCAACAGAACATTTCAGTGGCGCCTATCTTTCTTCTCTCCGATTGTATCAGAGTCCAAGATTCACATCCGTAGGTCAGTATTGGGAATATTAAGCAGTTGATCAACCTCATCTTTAATAATAACAAGTTTTATATTGGCCCTTTTTTATTGTTTAACGGATCATTATTGTTGACTAATGTTAACTAATGTTGATTAATAATAACTCTTGTTGATTAATAATAACTAATAATAATATATCCTGTGATATCCTGTAATATATCGTCGGTATACTGCGAAAACCAGGTAAATGTCGGAATATCGCAATCGAGAAAAAACGTTTTTAAAGTTTAGTTTTT